GGGCGTTGCGCTACAGCTGCAGCCCTTGCTGATTTGTTTGTTGTGGAGCTAGTCTTCTTTCTCGTCTTGTTGGGCTGTTCTTCAGCAAATTAAGTTTCTTGGCGGCTTCATTTCAGTTTCTGCGAGGGCAGGGATTATTCCCATGCAGGGACTAATTTAACCCGCATCGCATCGCAGTTTGCGACGCAAAACACAGTGTCTGCGATTCGAAGTTCGTAGTGAGTCGCGGTAAACTGCGACACAACATACATGTTAGCTAAGTATGGCCCTGGACATTGACTTGTAGTGCACGCGTAGCGCATGCACATGTGTAGCTTTACAGTGTGTGTGGCCGGTTAGGCGCCAGGAGGCGGCGCGCCATGCACTGTGACTAGATTAGACTGTGTGTGTGTGTGGTTGTCCAGCCTGCACTGCAGGTAGATTTTACACCATACGCACGCGCGGGCCGCGAGACCATGGCCATATGTCACACTATCTCCGCACGCGCACCGCAGCACGTGCACTTGGAAACTAACTAACTTACTTGAAGTGCAGCCCAGGAAGCACGAGGCGAGTGTCGACAAGTACTTCACCTGCTTTTGAGATTTAGACCGCGTTGCTTCACTAGCAGTAGGCGTCTCGACCGTTCAGGACTTATCTTTGTAAAATTCTGCTAGCCTTATTGATGAAGCCTCTTCACTGCCAGCATGTCTGTGAAGCAAGGTACTGTGGACAAGTGGATAGCTGAATTTGATCCCAAAAAGAATGGATTCGCGCAGAGTCGAGTGGCGGAGCTGTGACCAAGTTATTTTGCAAGATGTGCAGGGAGAAGGCGTCCTCGCTTCGTGGTTTGAGGAATTACAGCACGGCGTTCATTGACGGTATAAGTGGAAGTGCACTGAAGACTGCATTGTCGACGGAAAAAAAACTGCTATGCAAAATTGTTGCGTTGCTATGCAAACGTCGGGGTGTGTAGCAATTATTGCTATGCAATTTTTTTGAAGTAAATTAGTCCCTGCGGCATGATACCTCAGTGCTGGTAGCGTAGCGAAAAGGTATACGGAGGCGCTCCGTGTGTGCCTTCCTGCCACGAGGTTGGATTCGGCTAGTGCATGGCGTTGGAGAGTTTGAAATTTTAATACCGTATATTCTCTATTATAAGCACAGGTCTCCATTACTAGCACAGTCTCTAGCACACTGTGAGCACCTTTCGAAACATTATAAGCACAGTCTCTATTATTAGCACGGTCTTGGTGGAAATCAATGCTGCATGCATGATATCTAGCATGTATTTCTTCTTGCTCCGTACGGATGTATTGGTTGAAAAAATATAAGCATGGTCTCCAATATAAGCGCGGTCTCCAATATAAGCACGGGGTAGAGGCTCAGGGGTGTTGAAAAAAATATGAGCACGGCGCTTATAATAGAGAATATGCGGTATTTCCCCTGATGATTATTACTGGATAACTGAACCACATCGGCACATCGCCCCTACTCCCCTTTGTCCTGTTGTCCAGTGTCATTTCAGTTGTCTTCTTCCCCTGATTATTAGTAGGGCTGTGTTTTTTAGTAAAAAATAAAAAATAAAAAATAAATTTTATTCAAGACCACTTGTTGGTGATTGGGGGCACGTTGTAGCAGACTACAGTGGTGGTGGACTACCCCCAATTTCAGGACGAAACCTCGCTGCTCCTGGCCCTTGAAGATGGCCTTCGTAATGGCCGCCATTGGACAGGCTGAATCGATCGATTCGTTCGAGGGACCCAGCAAGTCGCCAGTGGAAACTTGGATTGCTAAACATTACTAGATAATTTGGATCGTTGTGCGAACATAGTTAGTTTGGCTGCGCTGTGTTGCTGTGAGCAGCAGTGACCCCTCGTTCTTGTACATCTAACTTGTTTGAAGGTGTTTAATACAGTTCGTGCTTTTATCATTTTTTTTGATTTTGGGCAATACGTAAAGATCGGAGGGTTTCTGGACCAAACTGTCATCGTGGGTGAATGAGGTCCACCTAGGGATAAAAGGAGCCAACCCTGAGCGAAATCGGAAATTGTGCCATGTCCGGTGATGTTTGGCCGTTACGACATTGACTCCCTGTTATAGTGTTATTACAGGCATGGTGGTGGCCTGGCTCGAGGTAAACTTCCTAAGCTGGTTGTGTTTCTCAACGCAATTGTATAGCCGGTTGTAATGCGGACGTGCGAACTTCCTTTTTTCGTTTTTTAACGGACCTTGACTCTTTTAAATGTACAGTAGCTGTAAGGCTTCGTTTCATGTACATGTGCATGTAGCAAGGCTAATTGAGCAATCCTCAGACAACTGATAATCTGTTCATTTGTCGGCCTGCAAACGTACATGTACATGTACACACACACAACAGAGGCGAAAGGCTGTGTTAGCTGTAACTTAAAGTTTCACGCATCGGAGCGATCATCAGACAGCAGCATTCACTATCGAATTCTCTACGAGCAGGCCTAGATATTTGATGCTAGTGTGGAAGTTAGTGCATATGTGCGAAGTGAAGACGTGGCATTGGGACAATGGTGTTGAGTTGTTTTGTGAGAGTTAACGGATATAGGTGAGAATAGAGGCGATAACAGGGCAGTGTTACCGAGTCATTAAAGGCGATAACGACGGTAGCGCAAGACCACAGCAAGAGTGAAGAGGGAGAGAGAAAGCACCATGGCGCCAAACCTGGTGCAGGTTGCGCCATGTCGAAAAACTCACGTAACTGATGGTGAGAATCTGGACAGGTAATACTTGTTCTCGTGTCTGCATTTCGACACCAACTCCGACCTTTTGTTGATGTTGACCGTTTTGTCTGTTTCCAGGATCTCCAGTTTCTCAGCAAGGCATAGGGGACACCGCTTGGTCGCGTTCGAGTAGGCCTGGGCCTTGGTGACGACGGCCCATTTCACAGAGTGCGGAGTGTTCTTCCGCTTGAGCTTCCATATGCACTTGGACAGCTCCGTGCTTTTTTCCATCCTCTCATGCCTCGTCGTGCTCATGTGATTGTTGTATCTCTGTTTAAAGGGTGGTTCTGTTAGGCCGACGTACACCAGGTTTGGCGCCATGGTGCTTTCTCTCTCCCTCTTCACTCTTGCTGTGGTCTTGCGCTACCGTCGTTATCGCCTTTAATGACTCGGTAACACTGCCCTGTTATCGCCTCTATTCTCACCTACATTTT